CTGCATTTTTAGCTGTCAATCATTGACTCAGAAGGGGTAATCAATCAGTTTTTTATCAGTGCTCCTTTTTTTCCCCACACCAGAAGGCAACTCTGGGGTTTTTTTTCATTGCATAACAGCAGATAAAGGCTCTCTAGCAGTGTCTAAAAGTTTTTATAGCAATTGCAATGGTTATTATTCTTATTTTCAATATTTTCATTATTTTATATTAATTTATTAATTTCATTCCAGGTCCAGTCTTCACAAAACATGATGTAGAATTTTTTCTAATTGATCAATTTGTCTGAGATTTTTATCCAAGCTAGTAGTTACCTAGAACAAGGTTTTCAAATCATTCCCAGGCCCTTGACATGCATATAGTTGAAAAATCTGACCTCTGAAGACCAAGAAAACATGTTCGCCAGCTGTTTTTTTGTTTTTTTTAGATGTTTGTCTGCTGAGTGGACACATTAAGAAATATAAGAAATTTGACTATTCACACTCAAAGCCAAGGGGGTTAGCTTCAATTTAAGACCTGAACCAGGCTCCTGTTGTGTTCTGCTGCAGAGATATAACAAATGTTTAGGGGGAGGAAATTCCAGGCGGACATTGTCTAAATATGTCAATGTTGTTACACAAACCAAAACATGCCATATTTTCACATTTATTCTCTAAAACGTTTTTTCCAGGAAGAAGTACCTTTTCTTAGACACCTGTAAAAGATAATTTGTATTTATACCCGTGATCAGTATTCTTTCTGCTACAAACAAAACTCTGAAATATCATTTTTTTAAATCAGAAGAAAGTTGCCATATTCTTGTTTTCATAGGAATCTCCTTCTTTGCGTCATATGCATTTGCCTACGACAAGTTACAAATTGTGGAAAAAAGTGCAATACCACTGAATTTCACCGCCTTGCATGTGCTTATGTAGGAAAATGTGCTCCTGATGCTCTGATCTGAAGGTCAGACTGTTTTCATAAAAAATTATTAATGACAGGATCAGGCCCTTTTCCCTCCGCAGAAGGAGCATGATCTTCACCATCTCCCTCCCCAGTTCGCTCAACGGCCACCCCAACACTCATGGAGGAATCATTGCCGATCATAATGTGGCTGGCATTGTGGATCTGGATGATATTTGAGGGCTGGCAGGCAGGAGCACCAACCATGTTCGCAAACCCATCAGAATGATATCCCTGCGGCACCTGCTGCACAGGCGGGGGGAGAAAGTTGTAGAGCCCAGCTGGGCTGAACGGTAAGGCAGAATTGGGGGGCCCCACACCACAGGTTTGAGTACATGGAGGGACAAAATGGGGTCCACAGAACATTTGGTGATGGTCAGGCTGTACATTTGGGTTTGAGAACTGTGGCTGAGGCATGCCTGCCATCCATCCTGCATACATCTGTCTGAGTAATTCTTGCTGTAGATGTAAGCGCTCCTGTTCCAGCTCAGCAGTTCCACTGGCTGCCTTGACCAAACGCTCATGTCTGGCATTGACTCCTTTTAATTGCTCTTTCCTTTCCTCAGCTGCTTTTATGCTTTGCTCCATCTTCCAGAGTTGTCTCTGTCTTTCAACTTTCTCAGGTGCAAAGGTCTTTCTAGCTATTTTCTCAAAATTCCTAGTTCTCCCCTCATCCAGGTGGTTATAAATCTTAAGGCACAGTGGCATTTCTTTCCGGGTTAGAAAGTTCTCCCTGGGCAGGAAAGGAATGACAGTGTTGTATTTGTGTTGCTTCTCAATGGAGTTCATGAGAACAGAGTTGGTTTTGTGCTCCAGCAAGCGAGTGTTGAAGTTCTTTGTCAAAAGGAGAATGGTGAAGGCAGAATTGTCAATGGCATCCTGTATGCAAGTCAAGGTGTGTCTCCCAGGAACCTCAAAGTCTTCGCTGAAAGTAGCACCTTCCCCAGCTCCCAGGCTCTCTAATTTCAACTGCAGTTCACTAGCAATGTCACTGTCCTCTGCTGCATGCAAAATTACAAAAGAATAAAACTTTTCACCGCTATCCTCTTCTTTAAATCCCAAGATGGAGGGCGAACTTCTAGGAGAGTTGTTTTTGGAATCTTTAGTCTCACTCTGGACATCTGTATCAGAAGACTCTGCAGCTGCTGTCTGTTTGACCTCCAACAGCTTCTTTCCAGGCTGGACTGGAAAGTCAGCACTGGGTTCTTTGGAAGTTATAGTCTGATGACCTCCCATGGAGACAGTGCTTTCCAAAGGTCTGGCATGACTTCCTTTGTCCAGGAGGGACTGTGTAGTGTCTTGTGGATTGTGGCTGCTTTCAGGTTGAACATGAACAAATTTTTTGTCCACAGACAGGTTTCCTTCTTCTTCTGCTCCTTCCTTCTGTTCTTCCAGGTGAGTCAGAACAGAAAGACCCAGGGCCTCCTCCCCAGGTAAAGGAACAGCTGAAACTGTGACCTGTTGCTGAACTGACGTGCTGCTGATTGAAAGTCTGCCTATGGACTCCATGAAATCCTCTTGGTTCCTCTCGGAGGAGACCGTTTTCTGATCTTGTTCTCTTTTAGAAAGAAACGTGTTGGTGGGGGACGCGCTGACCTCCAGGTGGCTGGGAAAGGACACCTGACTCCCGCTGGAGCTCCTCAGTGAGGATGGAGAATTGCCGCTGTTGGCTGCAGATGGGTTTTCAGTCCTCATGATCTGTATGGCTGGGCTTCTATGCTCTGGTTTCCAGGGAAGATATGAACAGAGACCAAGAAAGGACTTCAAAGTTGTTCCGCTATCTGGCAGGCCTCCGCAGTCCAAGTGTGGACCACACTTTTCCTTGGCCTCCATTCTAAGCTTCCCTACATCCACCTTACATGTTCCCTGAGCGCTCTCACACGCCCTGATGGCAGCTAAGTAGGCTTCATCACGGAAGGAGTCTTTGCACAAACCTTCATCAGCCAGAATTTTAAAGACTCGAGCGAGGTCAATAAGAATATCGGCAGAGAGCGGGGACCCCTGAGCTTTGGGGGGGCTGTGACTGTTCCCACTTTCAGCGAGATAGCTGGCCAGGTCGTTGTTTGTCAGCTCCCTGAGCTCTGCCAAGGCTTCTGCCTGCTTGCTGAGGCTCAGCAGAACCAAGGCGCGCACGAGCCGCTCTGCCTCGCCACGGCCCAGCTTGAATGTGAGACTGAGTAATTTCTCAGGGGACGTGGCGGAGAGGAACCTGAAAGCGGCTTCCAGGCTCGGCGCACACTTTCTCTTCTCTGCCATTCTTTTGTTGTGGTTCTAGGACGGTTCAAACTGCATCGCAGAGCCCAGCGTCATGCTGTCCCCCTTCCTCCCAGGAGGGTATCGTCACCTGCTTATCTTCATTCCATGGAACCACACCTGTAGAGGCAAACAGAGGCAAACATAAGGACCAACCTGAGCAGCTGTGACTGCAAAACTGGCTTTTCATGAAACAGTGTCCCACTTCATGAAAAAGTTGTTAAACATGCTGTTTTTCTGCAAAATGAACACTGAATTCCTTTCAAGCATGTTACATTTTGATTATACCTTTTGTTAGGAAACAATAACAATAAATACAGTTTTAATGAAAGTGTAGAAGAAGTAACAGAAACTCAGTTGTCCTTCACCTCAGCTACTCTGACACTAATCCCACTGGATGTCGCTTCTTGGAAAGCTATGAATACCCCAGCGAGTCCTTCTCTTCCTTGTATCCCTCCTCCGCCCCAGCTCCAGCTCTTTACTTCCTCCTCCTCCGGCCAGGGAGTTAAACAAAAATGTCTTGTGCCTGAATTCTCAATTAACATTCCTATTTTTTCTTATGGAGTGTTATTCTCCATTAATTAGGGCTCTCCCTGGTCTCCAGTCTATAACAAGAGTAAATTTGGCACATGTTCAACCTCGGCGCTCAAGGGTTCACAATCCAACAGGTCTTCTGGAGTCTTTAAATCCTTCACTTAACCAGTAAATACAAACCATTCCCTTTCATCATAGTTCTTCTCTTTTGTCATATAAGCTTTATCAAATTCTGAAGCTTATTTTTTAATGAGCTAAACCCATCCACTAGCTCACACCTTGTCCTGTAGAGAAAGTAGTTTGTATTAACACAGCACACAGAATTTCATTCCCACATAGGAACTACAATTTCCCCTTTTGGCACTTTGGACATTTTTAAATTTCTTAATCATTAAAAACTGAGCTACAGTACACAGTGATGCAAACAAACTGCACAGCATATAAATGAAAGGGTGAACATTAACATTTGTGATAATAATGTACTGATCCACAGCCCTGTGGAACTTGGCAAAACTAATTAAATTAAGTTTGGATCAATAATAATAAGTTAGATCAATTTTAATTTGATCAATTCAACCTTAGCGCTAAGCTTATGACTTAATGACACCTACAAAACTCCAAAAGCTGGAAATCCCAGCCTCCACCACCAGCATCTGATGAGCACAACTGACTCAATATTGCTGCAGGTAAACTTACCTGTCCTCACCTGTTTTCTTCCGGCATCAAAAAAACCGTCCCTGTCAGTACACCCTTGTACTAGCAAAGCACACTGATACTTTTGCAAGTTACAGCATGTTTTAGTTTGTACATCCTGTCTATAGCTCTGGTCCTTTATTGGGGTGACAACATGGCGTCGGGGAATAGCAAAGACACAACGGTTTCAGGGGTTAAACTAACAATTTCCCAAAGGGCTTATGAGCCTCGTTAAGAAGTCCCTATCTTCTGCGTCTCTTCCGTGCAGTGAAGGTGTTCAGTTTCGGTCACCTGTGCGGAATGGAGTTACGGGGTGCTTATTTTTCATATGTGATCTGACAGCCACTGCAGGAAAAGCTGTAAACCTCCACCGTCAGCAGAACTTCGGCTGTGTACAACCCGAGGTCGGATGCAAACGAATAGCTGTGATCAATACAATTAAAAAAAAAAACACCAACCTTATGTATGAACGTCCCCAGCCAAGACATTTATTTTTAAAAATCCAAATCTTCAAAATCGTTTAATTTGAAAGTACAGTTTGGTAATAACTTGCAACTAATCATCTTCACTAGTCCCAACACCCCAGGACAACTGAGGAGGAAGAGGAAGACGGAACCTCCAACATCTACCGTCTGTGGTTCGTGCACATCCGGCAACCCCCATCCAGCACAAAGTCCTGCTGACGACACTTTCCAGCTTTCAGGAAGCAAAGCGAAAAAGTTTCACTTCAGCTCTGATTGGGCTGATTTCTTGACTCCCGCTGGGCCCTGGGCTTACGGTGATGGCCGGAGTCTCAGCATGGTGTATAATGTTACAATTCTTCATATTATCCCAACGATACGCATTTATAAACTATAAGTAAATGGACACTCTATGACCTCATTACTTTTTTTAAACATATGCTCAGTTTAGTAAAGGTGTGTTGACCCAATAATTTATTTTTTCATTCACAGAAAACACCCCGTTCACAGCTTCGGAAGACTATGATGTCAGGAACCATTTTTAAAGTGCTGTCGAGCTACAGTATTTTGCCACTTGAATGGTTAATTGTAACGTTACTGTATGTGTTTGCCTCATTCAATAAGATTACAGCGGTTCGCAAGCACAGCAACACGACAGGTGCGCCGAAACGAGTCTCAGCTCGCCAGGTAAAGTGGGCGATCTTCTCCTGTCTGCCCACAAGGTGGAGGCAGAGACGTAGTAACCGGCAGTGAAGCCCCTAATCTTCTTTGCTCGATTATAAACGGTATTTCATCTCGGCCACGGAGGTGAACTACAACCTGTTGCAACTGTTTCACATCTTCATGCCTTTACCACAAGTTAGGGCTGGACGTGTCATTCGCCTGCAGGTGTTTTTTTGTATATTTCATTGCCATTCAGTAATAAAAATACATACCAAGAAAATTGAACTATCATATTCAAGTTTTTGATTGGTCTTTGCAGTCTTTGCTGACATTTAATTTCATTCCAAAAACAATGTTCAGTTTGAGGATTCAAGTTTTGGTTAAAAGGATTCACCCTAAAAAGTGTATACAGTATTTGTAATTCACCTAAATGGTACATCATCAGAAGGTAGTGAATATACTGCAAGGCAAAAGTCTCAGAAACTACTGTTTTCACTCATGTGCAAAAACAGCAATTACATCTTAACCTGCTCTTTATTTACAAAGATTAGAGGCCGTATGCTCACACGGCTCGCAGTGCGGGGGTGCTGGGGTGCTGTCTCTGTGGAATATGTGTGTTCTCCCCATGTTTGTGTGGGTTTCCTAGGGGTGCTCCGATTTCCTCCCGCAGTCCAAAAACTGTGTAGTCCTGGTTCTATTCATCTTACTTTATTTACCCTTTTCTCATTTTATTTACCTGGTATCATTTAAAAAAACTGATTTATTGTGGCCAGATATCAATGTTTAGATTGTATCATCTGATCTCATCTGGTGTAACATTTGCACTTGTAAAACTTCTAACTCCTTTGCCACATGTAAGTATGTTTTTATTATGTATTGTCATTTTGAAGATGATTGTAATGCAACAGTATTTTTAACAAATTTGTAACAGCATTGTGATGTCAGGTAGTCCTAGATTTTATTTCCCTTCTGTAATATTGAAACACACTACCGACTGCCTTATTACTGCTACAAAAGAAAAAAAAACTTAAAATGTTGGCATTTTAAGAGCAGGTGATAATTAAAACTGACAACTCTCCTAATATTTTTGTTGTTAGATAGATATATTATTTTCACACAGTCAATATACTTGACCTGACCACCTTAGAAAACCATTGTGAGCTCACAGATCTGCTGTTTTTGGTTAACTGTACCACCCACACAGGCCTCCACATCAGTTCCTCAAGTGCGAGTTTTGCTTAAATCAGCAGCAGCATCAAACCTGTGAGGGTTGAATTGGTTTAATTGTGCCTTGATTGAACTACTATAACCCTGTTAGTTGAAGACTTGTGCTGGTGATTTAGTGAGGCCTACAAAGCCTGCTGGTCTGGTGCTCCATGGATACTTGGGGAACAGTTTATCAGGTCCTTCACGCACAGTGAGCTGAGGCTCTGAGCAGGTGGGACTGAAACACCAGGCCCTCCAGCCTGCATGTACTGCCACAACATTGGAAGGTTCTGGTGGCCTTTGGTCAAGATCTCAATCAAACAGCTTCAGCATCAGAAGCCTGTAACAAGTCTTTCAACCACCACTTCTGTTTGTGTCTTCTAGGTCTATTTTCCTTCCTAAAATGAACTTCACTCTCTCGTCAACAACCTCAGGAAGCTCCACTATGTGCTTTCAGGAGCTCCTGCAGACAAGTATAAATTCCACATGGCACTGAAATACCTGCACCAGATCTTATCCTGGGCTTCCAGCACGATCACAAGCAGCTGAGGCTACAGTGAGAGCAGCCGTGGGCAGGATTGACCTGCAGGTCCCCTTCTGTCCACTGGGGATTGCACTGACCTGGGAAGATGAACAAAACTGGTCTTCTGCTCTTCGAGGCCAGCCACACAGCCTCTACAAGAGTCTGCTCATTTGACTGGTGGTTCCTAATATTTTGTCCATGCAGATTTTTGGGGTTAACTTTGTCCCTTCATTTCAGCGTTTTCAATATGTAAATCAGACCCCAACAAAGTCTTCTCTGTTCTAAGCTGAAGAAACACTCTTTTATCCTTTCAATGTATGTCACACTTTCCATGAGGAAACTGTTCTAGCAGCTCTTCCTTTGAACTCTTTCCAGTGCAGCAAAGCCTTGTCCGCAGTACAACGACAAAACCAATCAGAGCTTTCTTACTGCAACCGTGCAAGTTGGCACTAATGGCACAAAAAGGAAAATAACTTTCAAAGACAGCTGGTAGCAGGCTTCCATGTTTGCCAGTGCTGGCTTCTGTCCTGCTTTGGCAGTATACAAGCCCATGGTGGAGGTTTTCTTAAAACAATACAAAACAGAACAACACTGTTTACAAAAAGCCTCTGAGACAGTACTATGGTACAAGTTTCACGTCTGTTTTTTAGCACCTCGATAATTGCGAGGAGCCTTTTTCAACACAGAGGCGGGCAGCTGATGGCGACTTGTCTATCTGTCAGCTGCTCGGAGTCTCCGTGAATCGAGCTTTGTGTGGGTGGGCTCCGCTGGCAGGGAGGGGGGCACCACTGCTCAATGCCATCAGCTGCTTCTCAGCTAACAGCCTTTTCCATCTTTTATGTCTGCTCAATCGGGACAGCAGGGTGTCATTCCACTGCATGCAGGCATAACGGTAAGCCTCAAGCCCCTGCCGGCAACTAATGGCCGCCTTTGGATCGTGATCCAGGTCATCTGGCGCAGGAGGGTACACATGGCTGCTAGAGCATCTCATGAGCATAACTTCTTTCTAATTCAGTTTTCACAATCACTTTTTGCTGTATTCTTGTGCCACTGGATAAACTGAGTTTGATGTTTAGATCCAGAGGGATCTCTTTCAGCTGTTGTAACAAATTTAAAAATCAATGCAACAGCGATTCTCATTTATTTTTATGACAAATGCTGAGAGTCCATCTTTACCTCCTCCAACAATAAGACTGAATGTGCAGCATGATTGAATACAAGTGTAGAATTTCAATGTTTTCCACTCAGTAGCATGATTACATTTGAGATTTTGCATTACTTTTTTTAAATACATTAATACTGCAATCTGAGATTGCAAAACATCCAGGCTTTCAAAATATGAGGTGTCTTTCATACCAGAGGAAAATAGAGCTGAAAGTGTCTTCCTGTAATTTCCTTTTCTGCTTTCATCCTCCCACCAATAGAAAGTTTCTTATAAAGTGAAACCTTGTACTTTTGAAATGTTTATGCACATATTTATATATCTTAGTAAATTAAAGCCTAGGACACCATCTGTAATGTTTGATATGAGGAAACAGACGAGTACAGATTTAAAATTTAAAAAGGTTTCAATTTGTTATGTATTGACCTTTACGCACATGTTTTTTTTTAAAAGGTCAGTTGCACCATAATTGTGCACCCATTCTCAGTGCTTGTGTGGGTTAAAAAAACCACGGACATTAAATTCTGTTTTATCTCCTGCTTTGTATTGCAAGGAACCAGGTGAAAGGTTTGAGGCTCCACCTAGTGGAGGCTGGATCAAAAGCAACAGAACTTTCTGCATTTCAACATAGTGTCCCATGTCCCTTCACTCTCCACAATCTCCCACACAATAATATTAGTCATCATAATCCATCAATTTTAAACCCACTTTATCTAATACAGGGTCACGGGAGAGCTGGAGCCCCTGGACAGGACATTAGTCCATCACTGGGCACACACAGACGTGCACCAGGGCAGGTTTTCCCAGAAACCAGTTAACCAACCAGCATGTCTCTGGACTGTGGAGGAAACTGGAGCACCTGGAGGAAACCAACGTGAACATGGTGAGAACATACAGACTCCACATGTACAGCACCCAGAGTCCCCAGTGCTACAAGGCAACAATGTCAACCACTGCACCACTGTGCCACCCTAATAATATTATGTGCAGCAAATTAATTTGCTACTCTATGTAATTATGTTTTTAGATAAATAAAGCACACAGATTTAACAAATTTAACCACAAAGACCATCCTCAAACAGACACTTGGTGCTGAGCAGCTTACAAACACGACAAACTGGGACATTTTCAGAAGACAGCAGACATTAGAAATAAAAATAGAGAGACACTTAAAAGAGATTGCTCATAGACTGCACCCCTTCAAGTGATAATTAAGTCAGAAGCCTGGGCTCTCACCACTGAGTGCTGGGGGCATCACAATTGATTAACAATTCTGATCTTTTACGCTGATGGACTGTGGCATTGACACACACTGATCACACACTATCACAGTCCAGAAAAGAGAAATGTTTGATTTCAGTAATGAAATTGAGTAAGGCTGCCCTCTTTGAACTCACAGATTTGACCATATTACATACAAAGGAATACATTTAAAAGACATTGCTACTTACTATTCAATTTTTAATATGATTTACTACTACAAAAATCAGTAGAGTCATTTCACCATGAATTTCTAAACCTTTGAAATTTTTTTGGAAGATGGGACAGTCCCAAGTGAACAAGTCCCTTGAGGGCTGCACCCGATGTTCCATTTCCTGTTGGGCGCTTGGGTCTGTGCTGATGAGTGAGAGCTTCTTGCTCACAGTGAGTCACTCTCAGCCTTTGCTAACAGTAAGGAAATGGGGAGGAGGTAGGGCTGTACACATTCCAGTGTTACAGATCTTGTTCTGAAGCATCTGAACACACCTTGCTTCCGTTGGGTTTTGTTTTGGTGTTAGTGTGGCCAGGTTGACAGCCTTTTCTTAGAATTTTCATTAATTTCTCTTCTGAACGTTTTTTTCTAAACTCGATAAAAATCTTCTTTGCACAGATCTCGACAGGAAGTTCAACTGCTTTTTCTAAGCGCCATAGAAACTGCAAGCCTGCACAACTGCCACAAAATCCAGGTGCCCTACACACTGATGCAGTGCTATGGCTGTCCCTGAAACTGGACAGGGAATGCATGGCAATTGTCTTGCATAAGGTGCCTATGAAGGCACTGCCCTACTCAGACAGTTCATGAAAATCATGAGAACTGGACGATGGAGAACAACGACATTTTATGCACATTCAAACAAGACCAGTAGGAATTTGTTCTCATGGACAAAACAGTAAACTCCAGAGGACATCACACTGGATCAATGTTACCACCGTCAGAGTCAGGTCAACAAAACGTCACTGCTCCATGCTGTTGTAATCATTGTTTGTATAGGACAGCTAATTCTATCAGCAACATTGTACATATTTGTACATACTGTATATGTGGGTGGCAGCATGGTAGCACAGCTGTGGGACCCTGGGTTCAATTCCTGGGGGGCTGTCTGTGTGGAGTTTGTATGTTCTCCTCGTGTTTTCCTGGGTTTCCCTTGGGTGCTCCGTCCTCCCACAGTCCAAAGACATTATAATAGGTTGAGTGTGCGTGTCTGTGTCTGTGTGAGCCCTGTGATAGGCTGGTGTCCTGTCCAGTCCAGGGGGTATCCCGCCTTGAACCCAGAGCTTGCCCTACAGGCTCAAGAGCCCCCTGCAATCATGAACTGGAATTTAGAAAGTGGTTAGAAAATGGTTTCAATGAAAGACTCCGCAAAAGAGTTACCCAGAGTTTTTAATCTCTCACCCCAGTTTTTCTTCACTAAGAATAGAAAATGCAATAGAGGATTTTCATTTGACTCTCAAACTTTCCTAAAATTGTTCAAGAGGTTAGAGAATCGATGCTGGTGACAGTTCATTTTGAAGCTTCAAATGTTTTACAACTCTCCCCATAAAATAAACTAATTCTTAAGGAAGGAGAACTAAATGACAAATGCTTTCACTACATAAAAATAAAATGTCTGTGGAAGCAAACCATGGTCTACACAGCATCCTTCCACTGCCTGACTCTTTACTTTGGAGAGCTGGATTTGTATTTTAAGTTATTTCAATTATTCAGGGGTTGATTTAGATAAACATTGTAAAAAATCATTAACATTAATGGTAAATGCAATTCCCTTAAAATATCCATAGAAAACTGTTTGGATCCATTTCAGCATATCTTATTGGGAACAGATTCTTTTATCAGCAGAAGAAATAAAAGCCTAGAAATGAAGTTCTAGGTTATCCATATTGTTTGAGTTAAGGAAGCTGTCTGTATTTATTAAGATGAATAAAACCTAGACGTACCATTACAAAGATCACTGTAACACATGTATGTGTCGGCTGTAACATGCAATGTGACCAGACCAATCAGCACATCACAGTTCAGTGTTTCCTGTACATCCAGTCAAGGTTATTTTTTTAATAATAACAGCCTAACTTCTATAACATGGCTTAGTAATGTACATAAAATATTGTCTGGTATTACTGTAGTATTTATTTTGAACATATCTGCAGTTGTGGAATCTCTAATTCTGCTTTCAGAATTGTTTCTGGGTAGCGAAGTCAAGTCTGCTCTTTGCCAACCCAACCCTCCACAAGCCTGAACAGTCTGTCCTGTGCTCTGGGGCGAAAGCCTCTCTTTTTCATGAATGCAGTTCTAGGTTATCCACGTCTCACAGCTGGTTTTAAATAAAAAATAAAGTAGTAATGGTTTGGTTGAAATGTGTTGAGGAAACCTCAGTGACACTAGTCAGCGAAGTGAAATGTCGATTACAGTTGTTTGTCATGCCACAGCAGAGAACAGTAAATCTCTGACAGCGCCACGAGTTGGCTGTCTGTCTGTTCTGCTTCCTACGGAAATGCCATGATTCACAGCACAAAAATCACAGCTATGAGGCAGCAGTGCTGAAATGTGCTTCCTATTTGTGACAGTGGGCTCCCTAACAAAACAATACTGGTCTGAAAAGACAGGAGGGGGTTGGGGCTAAGGGTCAAAGGTTGCATGGCCTCGAAGGGTCCGAAACCGGAGCTTGGCTCCTGTCAGTAAATTGTGAACACAGGACAGGAACCACACAATCCAGAAGGGTGCTCTGGGGGAAACTGCTAAGATTACAACAGGAACTGCTGCGTTCACATGGGCCCATGTGCAAGCTGTGATTCTGGTCCTGTTCTCATATATTTGCATATTTTTTCACTTTCTTTGCAGGACGTGGGAATCCAATGCATATTTTTCTCTCTCCGTGGTAAGTGTCTCTCTGTCCTGCTCAGCCATTGGACTCTTTCCAGCTGCCGCGATATTGTCCTTTGAAAAATACCGTTGCTTCCAGCCCTCAGTACAGCTTCTAGATGATTCCATAAGGTGCCTCATCAAGCAACAGCCCACAGAATCACTTGGCCACATGATATCAGCTACAGTCATATTCGTGTTCGTAAACAATCATGACAGATACTGCAGACCTCCAGGAAACCATTCTTTAGAAGCAGCTTACAAACACATACATACACATGAATACATACAAATGTAATTGTTCTTGAAATAAAGTGTTTGAGGATGTTTGAATATGTCCATCTGTAGTCCTGCTCTTTGAGGCCAGATTCTAGAAGGTTTTACAAAGAATCTGGGCTGACTAGAGATGCCTGTCCCTGGTCTGTATGATACTCTATAGAAAACAACAGTCAAAGTCAGGACTTCACGTTAAGTTCATTAATGCAGACCTTTGCTGCCTAATGACTTGAGAGACTGCTGTTGCTTTGGGACGTTTATCCATGGACAGTGTTGAGCTCATATTAGATCGTATCTTAAGCGATTTCCTACACTGACAGCCTAAAATAACTGAATCACTTCAGTCCTGAACAGAGATGGGTACGAGGGGGTCTGATCTGGGTATCCGCAAGATTCAAAGGGATTGACAAGTTTGATCCAGTGTACTTCGGATTCATCACTGCAACATGAAAACACAAACCAGTGGACAGAGGTGACGACTTTGAGGAAGTGCTTTTAAAATCAAGACCAGGAGTCACTTCTTTACACAAAGGGCTGCGGGGGTGTGGAACAAGCCCAGGCACATTGTTGAAGCCGATACCCTGGCCTCTTTCAAAACACAGCTGGATGAGATGATCATGGGCTGGATGGGGTAATGACCACCTCTTCTGAGCTCCTTGGCCAAAAACGAAACCTGCAACCATCAACATCAAACTGAATCCGCCTCTTACTGGTGGCGGTAAAGATCCAACAAAAAAGGACCATTTAACCGTTTCCTGATCACTTCCTAACAGAGTGGGAGCCTATCCCGGCAAGCAACGGGCGCCAGGCAGGATACACCGTGGACGATTGTGGGTAAAATCTGTACACATTAGCCTTTGTCCGGTTTGCCCCTAACTGTTCTGAATTCTTATTGCAGGTCGGCTAGATTCTGCTATTTTCACCTGTAAATAATTCTTACATATTCGGCGTTTACATTACTTTAAAAAAGACCAAGAAATCAAAAGGCTAAAAGCTGTGGACGCCGGTCTGCTGTTAGAACACATCAAATGCGGCACCAACTCCACCAGCTGGAAACAACCGCCTGGACCCTCAGTATGTTTTGAAAACGGGAGGAAAGAGGCGCACAAGTGCAAAATTATAGCATGTGACAAGTGCCCAAAATCACTAAACCGTACACGTACGCGTGGCCGGACATCCCGTGTGTCCCTGGCGAACCGACGTGCCGCGCCGGGCCCCTCTCCCGTGGGCGGTGGCGTCGCTCTCTCCCGCCAAACCCGCCGAGTCTGAGCAGCACACAACCCCCGCCAGCGCAGCATGGCGCTGAGCGCTTATAAAAATAGCAGCTACACTTCGACCAGATTTCTCCACAGCTTTTACGTGCCGTAGTTTGCTCTGAGTTGTTAAATATAGTTCGGATTTTCATGATTCACCTATCCCCAGATACTAATTTCTGCATGTCGCCTCGCTCTCCCACGCAAGTTTCTTGGCTCTGTTAATGCGCGCAGGCACTGTTTTCATGAAGTGTTGTGTCCGATACTAAATAACACGTTGAAATTAAAATGCTTTGCTTTTACGCATTGCAACTATGATCATAAACTGGGTATGCATTTTATTTTTTAAAAACTACTCCTGGACTAAATGGCTGCTACGATGCAAACTTCAAGACAAGTGATATATCCCCAGCACAGCATCCCAGCCGTCAAATCTCCCTCCAAGCTCTCGCCATCTGCTCTCCGGCTCTCGGCCGCGCTCGCGATTCGCAGCAGCGAGCTGCAGAGCTCCGCTCACATTCGCGTGCTGATTTGCATATTCTCGCGGAGGTTCTTGGAAGCTCGCCTTCGGGGCGCGAGACCAAACTTTCGCGCGCTGAGAAGGGGGTGCTGAGGGGGAGTAGAGTGACACGGCCTTCGTCCAATGGCGACGAGGATTTCGATCCGCGACGGCCAATGGGAGCGCGGCCTGGGCAGGACGGGCGGGGAAAGGTACTGTTGAAGAATCTCATTGATTCGGTGTTGGTTTAGTCTTTTTAAGCAAAGTGCAGTCAGCTCGGAGTGCCTATTTAAAGAAGTCTTTTATTCTTGTTTTTTTTTGAGGATCCGTTACAGAAAAGGTAAAGGAAGTTGATTTTTTATTTTGCTTTCCCCCCGCGGTCTCTGTCGCAGGGAGGGAATGGCTGTGGAAGAGTTTTAAAAGTGTGCGGGCAGCTCGACCCGGGGGCGGCCGGGTCGCCGGGCTGCTGAGGCTCCAGAGCCGCTGCGGGTCAGGGCAGCAGCCCGGCGTCTCCGAGCTGTCCGGTCGGGGCGATCGGCAGGTTTTCAGCTTTCTATCCTGCTTTTCCCGTTTATTGTAATCCGGTGTGGCGGAAAAGGTTAACAGGCACACACAGGTTAATAAATGGCAACCCGAAACAGCTGTGGTGAGAAAACACACAATTAAAAAAGTTTAATTGTAGAACCCTTCGTTGGGAGGGAAAAAAGCGCCGGATTGTTAAAAGTCAGAGGCGCAGGTAAAATGTGTTGGTGAGAGGGGTGGAGAAGCGCTTGTACCGCCCATAGCGCCGGTCTGTTTTAAACACTGTGGGTCTGGTTCACAGGGTTATTTATGAAGAAAAAATCGTGTCATGAACAGTCGTGTCTGTGGTTGCCGCAGGTTTCAGTTCGGTTTCCTTTTCTGGGTGTTTTCTCACGGCAGTTGGGCCCCCTGCCCCCCCCGGGCGGACGGGCTGCTCTCCCCAGGCGGGTGCCCGGCTCGAGCCCGGCGGCGGCCAACGGACACCCGGCGGCGGCGGGCTCGCGGCGGGGCTCGGACGTCGACGCGGACGAGCGGGCGGGCGCTCAAAATGGTGGCTCGGGGCTGGATGGGGAGCAGAGCGCTGGGGCGGGTCGGGCTGCTGTCGGCTCACGATTGCAGTTGTAGGGCTGGGAATCCACCCCGCTCCCACAGCGGCAGGAGGGGGCTCGGGGAGGGCTTCACCACAGAGGCGGCTTGGGGGCTCCTTTAATCTCGCGGCACGGTCGCGTAGCATCACCTACACAAGCGCGAATCGCCTCTGACGACGGCTCAAGTGCGGAAACGGGCTTTTCCTTCTTTCTGCTCTCCAGTGTGGGATTAACCCAAGCTCAGGTTGGGCTCGGGTCATCTAGTTGGCTTTAGGCGTCTGTCTGAACGCACGGAGGGGTCTCGCAGGTTCCGTGGCTCAGGTGTTGAGCGGGGGTCCTGCGGACACACTGGCCTCTAAACAACTGATCCGCAGACAGAGGGTTGTGGAAAGAGGTGAGCTGTAAAAAAAGAAAAAAAAAACAGTTCACTTAGCAAGAGATGAGCGGGTTTGTGGTTTGTCGGTCTGGGAGCAGTGTTGTCCTGGCATGACCACGCCGGTGGCGCCCTGGCAAGTCTGACACCTCTCCAGGTACGACAGATGGCACCTCCAGCTCTTCCAGTTCTTATTCAATTCAAACCGTTTTTATAACAAAACTTGTTTTCCCAAGAAGGAGCCGGTGTGGCTGCTGGGGCCGTGCACTGAGCTTGCCCCCCAGCTGTGGGGCTGATCTTCTCGCGCTTGGATACCACCCGAGTGTTTGCACACGGGAGGCTGGCGATACTGGGAGGCCACTTGGTGCTGGTGCTTCCCGTGTGTGGGAGGAGGGACGGCTCCACAGGTTCATGGGCTGTACCTCGGCTTTATTCCAGGCCTGCAGTCATGTGGATCCAGGTTCGCACAATGGATGGGAAGGTGACCCACAGGATCGACTCCCTGTCGAAGCTGACGAAGGTGGATGAGCTCCGGCTGCGGATCGCGAGCGTTTTTAATGTGGAGCCGGAGAGACAGAGGCTTTTCTACAGGGGCAAGCAGGTGAAGTGTTGTTTTTAACAAGTTGAGCTTTGAACCTTTTTGTATGTTTCATCTGTAACATTGCTGCTCATTTTTATGTCTTAATTTGCTTTTCCACCCAAGTAAGAGAGTTTTTGATGTAGCAGGCAGTTGCTTTTCTTGATGTCCTCTTTTTGGGGGCTGTTGTGTGATTTCTTTGATAAATTGCAAGGTTTTATTAAAATGCAGTGTTTTATGCTTCTAAATGTCTGTCATAATACCTTAAGCCCCAGGGTATCGGAAGTGGCAGGCCAGGAGCAGGCTTAGACTGAATCTGCACTAAGTCATTAGCCAGCTGTTACCCTGGAGGATGTTGATGTCATCTGTCTTTTCTCTGCTTGTGCTGTAACATTAGGTCCTCACTCCTTCACTCAGCTGTTGACACTGAGGGTTTTCAAATCCTGCAGTAGTACAAGACCTGTATCTGTAAATCACAACGATTTTACTGTTACTAAAATTCTGTAATAAAAAGATTGATTCTAAATTTAAATCATAACTCCATCCTTATGAACAACTTCAAACAGGACGGTGTTAAGTTTCATTGGTGTAATTTCAGTATTGTGATGATTCCAAATGGGGTATAATGTGTGCAATCGGAGGTCAATATATGAGGAGCCCCTGCCTACAGCTAGAGCAGCTCAGACGGGATGTGGGAATTATTCGATTGGGTTGAGAGAGATTGGGATTTGGGCTGCATGTTCTTCCATTTTGAGCGGCGCTCTTTATTTTATTGGTGGTTTGTTATAGTCTAGTCAGTGAGTGGTATATTCAGCACACCAAAATAAACAATGGCTCACAAGGCTGCAGAATAGATGCAGTCATTACGTGTCACTTGTTTTTGTGTGACCATTTTCAGGGTGCTTAATTGTTTGACGTTCCTATTGTCAGCATGAGCTGCTGTCACTGTGACCCCATTTGACTCAGAAAGCTGCTTTTGAGGTTTACTTCATCTTGATGAAATGAGTAACTGTTTTGGCAAAGCGACTTAAAATGATACTTTTTGTGCATTAACTGCATAGCTTTTGTACTGTTCTTTTATGAAGGTACTTGAAAAAAAACAAACATTACACAAATACAGGTTCAGAGCAGCTGTTTGCTCCTTTACTGACATTAAACATCTAGTAGTGTGATTTTTTTGCTGGTTTCTCTGAAATGTGCGCTTTGGCAGACTTGTGGCTTGCTGTGACATTGACAGTTTTCCTGCTGTCAGTGGCAGGTGTGACAGCCCTCGCTGGCAGAAGAGCGCTCCTGCAGGGACTGCTCGGGTCTCAGGGCTGCTAATGTGGGGAGGGTTGTGTCTCCAGCTGGGGGTCTGTATCGCCGTGTGCTTGGCTCAGTTCTGGTCAGACCTACCAGTGGTCTGACTGAACCCAGGATATGTATATGAGCCCCTCAGTTTAAAAATCTCCAGTTTAAATAAAACAAACTTCTATAGATTGTCACAACATTGTCACCTCTTTTTGCAGACAAAATGCAAAAAGATGTATATGGATTTTATAGCGGGAATGTTTGGACTGAAGGGTCGAACACTCAGATGAGTTTCCTTTCTAGCTGTAGTCGGTTTCAAGCTAGAGTGAAAAGATTGGGCGATTTTGCAGGTCAGTACATTATGGTATTCCTTTGGGACAGAAATACAGAACTAGGGACGGAACTAGAGAATGGGTTACCACTCATTACAATCTGCTTAGAATGAGGAGGTTTACTCTGCCTCTTCTGACCTGCCCACGTGATCCTTTAGAGGCCGACACCATACGGTCAGTGCCTGTTGGGGAGGCGTGTACATCATCAGCATCGCCTACAAGTGTTTTGGGGCAGTAGGGGTTGCTGTGTCTCTGAGAATCAAGAGAACCCCTTACTTTTGCATCGGAGACAAGTTCAGTTTGGACCTTGACCGTGTGCTTCCCGCATGACTGCCGTGGTTCCTGTACCACATGGTTTTTTTACCGAAAGCTCTTCAGAGACTTTCAGGAGAGTTAGTCTCTCCCTGATGTTACTTTGAGGCTCTGTCTGCATTTTCTCTAAGAAACAAACTTGTCTTTTCTTTTTTTAACTGGTGTTATAGCTAAAGATTTTAGATCCCAAGCAATTATGTGCATTTAAAAGCAAGAATAGGAGCCATTTCGTTATCCAAAGGGTTGTGGGAGTATGGAACACACTACCCAGCCATGTGGGAATTAATACTTTGGTCTCCTTCAAGAAATGGCTCCGGGGATCAATTAACTATGAAGTGGTCTGGATGGGCGGAGTGGCCTGTTGAATGCTTGATCATGAAAACTCTGTCCATCTACATCTGTAAAGTATAAATATATACAACTGCTGAATTGTAAAATGTAAGTTTTAGTTCTATATGCAGTGGCCAAGCATTGATGCTTGCTGGCTGCCAAATCGTGGTGTACATCAAAGTAAGGATGCACAGGATGGTGAAAGGGAATGTAATGTTTTCTTAGAAGTTTAATTTAACAACATGACGGTCTACTGTGAGACCTAATGAAATGTGGAAATCCCAGGCACAGGCAGCTGGTGACATGACCCAGGTATGAACATTTCTTGGCCACAGAACCTGACCCACACTCGGGGTGAGTGGTTCTACTGTCCTAGTCTCTTGCAGTCACAAGAACTGTGATTTTTGAGAGAAAACAATGTGGATCTGTGATAAAAATGTCTAATCAGAAAACTGGCACTGAAATGATCGATTTGTATACCTGTGTATATAATTGGAAGTAGTTCAGGTGGGTAGCTGCGTCAGCATGCGTAGGCTGCAAAGGAACAAGTAATAGGTTTATTCCATTTACTTTTGCATTGGAGTCTTTGTATTGTTTGTCTTTGCTTCTGTGGTGTTTTGACTTAAAGCCAGCATTGCTTGCCTGGATTGTGTATTGGAATCCGTACTTGTTGTAATTGATGTTCTGTGCTTTACCTGCTGCAGATGGAAGATGGCCACACTATCTTTGACTACAATGTGGGGCTGAATGACATAGTCCAGCTACTAGTAAGGCAGAATTTGGCCCCTGGTACCCCCAAGGAGAAGGAGGCGGAGCTCTCCGACTCGGACTCTGGCTGTGGGTCTGCGCAGAGCGAGTCGGACAAGAGCTCTAATCACGGGGAAACCGCTGTGGAGGGGGAGAGTCAGCCAGGCACTTCGGCACAGCCAGACCTTATAGATCCTGGGTTTGGCTTCTACAAAGTAAGTAAACTTTCTCTATTTGTATTTTGGGGAATTTAAAATCTAGTTGTTGCAGTGATGAATGGGTACAGCTTCTTTTTGAAATTATAACGCATAACATAATTAAAATGCTAGTCATTTTTAGTTTGGACTGCAGGAAGGCATGCAGTGGCATTCAGTTTAGACGCTTGATGGATAGATAGACTTTATTGATCCCGTGAGGGAAATTGCTTGCAGATGAATCACGATTGGATTAGTTTTTGTTTGACAATACCTATATTCAATGTGTACATTTTTTTTACCTTCCTTCAAAATATTTTGTACTGGTCTGTGTGTGGAGCTATCTCTACAAACTTTACAAATCCATATGTTCAAAAATGAGATCTGGCAGACTGTTCAGATGATTCAGATCACCCTACCAGGCAAGATGCTTAATATTTGTTCACGGAAGAATTAAATTACTTTATTCCTGATTGAGTCAATTGCATAATCCTATTAGAATGCCTTGTGTTCCAGTCAGTAAAAAAATATATTGTATTTTATAAGTGTTTTAAAGAGGCTTTCTAGAAATCAACTAGTGGAATGTGTGCTTTCTAACTTTTTTTTGTGTTGTTGGAGTTATCTGGTTCTGAAGCGTGGGCCTGGTAATTGTATTTTTGCCCATATTTGAAAGACATGAAATCCTGTGTTTCAGATTAATGAGTTTGTGGACGCCCGTGATTTGAACATGGGAGCCTGGTTTGAGGCACAGATCGTAAATGTGACTAAAGAAGACAGAAGCTCCAGTGAAAGTAGAGAGAACAAAAGCGATTCCAAGACTACTGAGGAGGAGATTGTATATCACGTCCGATATGAAGAGTAAGACTGCTAGTAGATCTGAATGTGAAAGTGATGTTATTAATAGGACATTGCTTTGTCTGTGATTTTGATCAGTTCTTCATATTCTGAGATTGTCACCTCGTTTTAAACTATCAAAAGCTGAGCCTCCCAGGTTTTACCATCCAGTAAAATCAAAAGCCTTGGATGCAGAACAAGTCATTGCCTGCAGAAGATGCTTCTTCAAATCCAGCTGAACTATTCAGTGTCTGGGACTCCTCTTCCCGCAGCTGAATTGAATTGTTAGCTCACTGCTGCCTTTGGCTGGGCTGGAGCTGGTATACATGGACAGATCATCAAATTGGGGCTGAAGCCATTTTATGTATGAAATGCAAACACTTGTAAAAGCTCTCTGCAACAATTTGAGTAAAACTGCTTGCAAAATCTCAGTTGATCAAACCCACTGTTTGAGGGTGTCTCTTATGTTGTTGGGTCATCCTGAGCTCAGTTGTGTTAACCGTTTTTCTCAAACTTATTTCCTGGAGAGATGCAGAGTACAGGTTTGACTTTCATTTGAATTTTATGGTTAAGAGTCTACAAAGGCCTACTCATTAATATAAAATATCTAAATAGACAAACTGGTTTACATATCAGAGCTGATTTAGATCCTTATATTTTTTAAAATTAAAATATTCTGAATATACATACAATGTATATAAAACAAATATATTTCTAATTTACCTTTAAAATGTAAATCTCTGCGTGCAGCTATCCAGAGAATGGCGTGGTGAAGCTGTCTGGCAAGGATGTGCGGCCTCGAGCCAGGACTGTTTACCAGTGGCACCAGCTGGAGGTGGGCATGGTGGTCATGGTGAACTACAACCCTGATGAGCCCAAGGAAAGGGGCTACTGGTACGATGCACAAATCCAGAAGAAGAGAGAAACGCGCACAGCCCGTGAGATATGTGCAAAGATCCTGCTTGGGTAGGTGTGCCAGTGTTTGCAGTATATGTAGTCTTATTACTTCCAATTAGTTGTAATGTGCAGTGTTTAATGGGAACAAAACTCAGAGAACACAGTGGGCTAGGATTAAAGTCATTTGATGTCTGTCACCTCATCCTCTCCTTTGTGGAAGTGTCCTGACTTGTCATAGATGAGAGGAAAAATAAATAAAGCATGTCTTTCCTGTTTTTCAACTTTGTTGAATTATCCAAAAGCCTCCTCTTTCATGTGTGGGGAAAGTCAAAATAAGGTCCAATGTGTTTTTTTTTGTTTCTTTGTCTCATAGGGATGCAGGGGATTCTCTTAATGACTGCAAGATATTGTTTGTGAATGAAATATACAAGATTGAAGAGCCAGGCAGTGTAGATGGTGCTGGATTGGAGAGTCCTCTTAAAAGTAGGTTTTACTTCAACTTGTCACTTCAAAGTAGAGGATAAATCCACACGTAAATAAAAGGAAAAGGCTGTTCTGTGTGATTGCATTAATGGAACTACCGATGCCAAAGAAGTATTGGTTTCTGTTGCTAGATGGCGCAGTTGCACTGAGTTTTCCATTGTCTTCTAACTATCTCTTATTTTTGTTGAAATTCTGCAAAAATATCCTGAATGCCTCCAGTGAAGAACAGAATGAGTAATCTATTGCAAACAGAAAAACAACCTTAACATGCTCTGAGATTAACAAAAGAGCAAAAGTATTTTGCAATAACTGTAAAAAATTGCATTTGCATTCTAATTGGTTTCTGACCTTTTCCTGTTCTCCACAATTCTTTACAACAGTGTAGCAAACAGGTTTCATTTCCTTTAACATTTGTGTATTTTGTTGAAAACTGCATTGTATGCATGCATCAGAAACACAGAAATGCTTGTGTAGGATATAATCACAAGATGTAAACTAGATCCTGGCAAAACAACAACCTCACCAGTAAGTAACGTGCTCCGTTTGTACTATAAAATGCAGTAAAACTGTAAAAGTTTTGTTACATGGACTTAGGTTATGGACTTCATTTAGTCTTGTGATTACCTCAGTTAAGTTTCAACTCATTCTTTTCTGGCTTTTGTCCATTCAATAGTTGTTGAAGTTGCCAATGCATTTAAAACTCTTTACAGTATTTAAGAATGTTCAGGATCAGACCTGGGAGGAACACGAGGTTCAAGGTTTGATGAACAGTGTGGACAAATGAGGTTCTTCATAAATGTACTTCATGCTGTTGGTTAATGTGAGGTTGATGATTGAGAAATCTGAAGTGGAAGAGCACACAGGATTTCTCCGACTGTCATACTCTCCTTATGGGAATGGTCAAAAGCAGAGTTTTGACTTGAGCCTTAACAATTTTCCACTGAAAATATTTTCGTTTTTTTATCACAGGTGTACATGACAAATCTTTAGGCTTTTGGGTTAAACAGTCATCTCTTTGTATGGTTCAGGGTCAAACGGACCAGAGTGCAAGCACTGCAAGGATAACCCGCAGAAGAGCTGCCGCATGTGTAACTGCCACGTGTGTGGGGTGAAGCAGGACCCCGACAAGCAGCTGCTGTGTGATGAGTGCGACATGGCCTTCCACACCTACTGCCTGAACCCTCCCCTCACCAGCATCCCGGAGGACGAGGACTGGTGAGTATCGCTGGCTTTGCGTGTGTGAAGGTAGACGGAGGCATGCGTTTACCTTATTACATGTCATTTGTACTGTAATAACAGAAGCACGTTGATTCATTCAACTTCTCAAATGTATTAAAGCACAGTTAGCAGGGTGGCTTTCATGGTGTTGGCAGCTGTGCGTCTCCTTGTAGGCCTTTGCAACTAATGCCTGGGGTGGCAAACTAGAGCCTCTAGGTCCCATTTCCAGATTTCAGATTTTAACACGGGGGGTGTTGGTAAAAATGTGAGCAGTTAACTTTTTTTTAAATAAAAGTTCCTTTTGGCTGAGCAACTGCAGACCACCAGTAAAGTCTGTATTTGATGGCTGAGTTTTGGCATGACATCTTACTAGATCAAGTGGGCCAGGGATGTCTGCCTCATTCTTTCCTGGGACACAACAAGGTTTGTAGACTTGATTTGCACAGTGACAAATGCACAGCTGGCTCTTCCAGATCAGATCAGGTGGGGTTAAAGTCAATTTCTGAATTTTTAGGAAAATAGTACCCGTGCATTTGTTGCATTCAAATGCATTGATGTGTAGAGTAGTGTTACCATGGCAATCAGCAAAGACTTTTTGCATATTATACAGCTGTTACTTCCCAACTGAGCCGTTCCTTGGTTGCATTTCAAAGTTTATTTCCTGTTACTCTTCCCTCGTGTGGCTTGCGTGAATATAGTGTTCTTTCTAGCTGTATTCTTGCACTTGACAATGGCTATTGCCTTTCAAATGTGAAAAGACACTACAACACAAAGCGTAAAAAATATGAAGAATTGCAAGGACAGGCAAAATGAAAGTGCTTAAAAAGAACTTAAATGTACAGCAAATATTTTTACAAGACCATGAAAGAAGATGGATGGTGTTATCAAGGCAGTTATGGGGTGAGTGAACTTTTTGCAATAAAACCTCAGTCTTGTTTATAAGGCACTTTTATAAAGGAGTGCTGTCTTGGTATTGCAGTTTTATTGGATCCATCTTGAGCTATTTGAAAGTGTGAGCTTATCTTGACAAGCTTTTGAACTGAATTACCAAAATGGCTGAGGTTATTAAAATGTCTCCAAAAGATTCTGCAGCTGGGTTTGTTTTATTCCTTGGATCTTGAGTATGTTGATATTGACAGAACTGAATATCCTTAGGTTTCTGCATGGGGATTACACCTGAGTTTGAGATGGGAGAGTTTGATTTCTTTAGCATGAAAGCAGTTATTGCTAAAGGAGTTTGTTTTGAGAAGGTTACATCGAATGATCTTCAGTTACTGTCGTTAGAAACTTGCTACTTATGGTCTTCCAGCTATTGTTGGATCTCCTAGTGGATGATTTGCCGTCAAGAAAGAAATGGATCGTCTCGGCCTCGATCCATTTAACTTGTTTTTGCCTTATTCATCAAGACAGTTTTATGCATGCAGTCCATGCAGCTGAACAATGCATGTCAACAGTAGTATCTAGCATTAACGTTATGAAAAGCAACAGATTAAACAGCTGCCAGTTTAATGTTGTAGCAAGCTCTTGAACTGGAGTATGCTGGCTTACAAGTGTGTGTTAAGTAGCATTTTGGGGTTGCACTGGATGGATGCACCTCCAGCAGTGGCAGGGACTGGAAGAGCTGAGATTTCTTACCTTTGCTATGCTGTATACAAAAGGTCTACACATAACTAGAGGTTCTACCTAGCGCTGGATAGCCAGGACCCACAGAATGTTTTTTTTTTACCCTTTGAAGGTACTGCCCTGATTGCCGTAATGATGTGAGTGAAGTTGTTCTAGCTGGAGAGAAGCTGAAGGAGAGTAAAAAGAAATCCAAGATGGCTTCTGCCAATTCCTCCAGCCAGAGAGACTGGGGAAAGGTAAGCTGAAGTGGGTCCCTTCCTGTGTATCCAGCACTTTGGATTATTGGAAAGACAAAAGCATGAGTACAATTATGAAATCTTTTCCTTCCAAAGACCTACTGGCTATTTTATTTGGGATCTCTAAATGATCCCGGTTTGCGTGTGCCCTGTGATCCTGTCACCCCATTCTGGTTGTATTTCTTCCTTGTACCTGTAGTTTTGGGACAGGCAACCCCTTCCAGGAGTAAGGGGCTTCCTGGTAATGGATGGGTAATTATGGTATTTAACAGCCCATGCATATTTTATAGCAATGTGGAGTTTTAAACCTGTAAATATATTTTGCATGTAGATTTCCCAAACAAAGTATTAAGAAATGAGCTTGAGAAAGCACCAGTGTGATAAGTGCAGCTCTCTGCTCTTGGCTCCGAGAATGTACCTTGCCATTCACTAGATACAGATAACTCTGCCACCGCGAGAGACGGGATCATCTGCTGCAGCAGAGTTTTGCAATTTTTAGATTTCAAAGAGGGTCGTCATTTCAGTGCAGGAGCCCTGTAGCACATGAACACCTGTCTCATGTTGCCCACAGATGGAAAATAATAATAATAAACTTTATTTCATGTAGCGCCTTTTAAAGGTGGCTTCTCAAAGCACTTTACAGGATGACAATAACAATGAATAAGAAGAATACAACAATAAATAAAAAGAATACATGAGATAAAACACCATTACAACAATTACAATAGAGGAGACCGTGGATGGTGGTACTAAGAAGAGCAGAGGGGTGAAGAATGGAACCAGTTAAGTAAAGGCTTTTCTGAAGAAGAGGGTTTTGAGTCTGGATTTGAAGGAGTTTAGAGAAGGTGACTCTCTGATATCCTTGGGCAAAGAGTTCCAGAGCTTGGGGGCATAGCAGGAGAAGGCCCTGTCGCCCATACAATATAGATGGGCTTGGGGGGACAGTAAGGAGGACAGAATTTGAAGAGCGGAGGTTGTGAGGTGGGGAAAAGTTTTTTTCTCAAATACACATACTGATGCTATTGGGGACTTCAGTTAACCTTTAGTCCTATTAAGTTGCATGAAGTTAACCTTAAGTTCTCTTCTGTTGCATTAAGTTCATTTCTGTAGAAACTAGCAATCATGATATCTAAAAGGAGATTATTTTAATGGCAACTTTTGTATTGTAGATGAGAAATGGGAATGTACAAAGCTTACTTTAAATCAAGAAGTACAAATAAAAGCTCTTTAAGAATTTTTGTTCCTTACTTCTAAGGGTATGGCTTGTGTTGGTCGTACGAAACAATGTACCATCGTGCCCTCTAATCACTACGGGCCAGTTCCTGGAGTTCCTGTCGGAACCATGTGGAAATTCAGGGTACAGGTAAGAGATTTTTTTTTGTGATTTGCAAAGAATGGTACCTGTATTTTACTGAAATATGTGGTTTAAGGTGGTGGTTTATTTTCCAAGGAATTTTGCAAAAACACGAAAATACATTTACAGTGTTTGTCAATAAGCTGTAATAAAATCATTATACCCACCTTAGATGTATTAAAGAACTTATTACTGTATTTTATTAGTAGAAACAAGGACACGTACTGTGTTTCAAATAATAAATTAGCACTTGGCGTGTACCAGCCTCTGACATTGGGGAAATTAAGGAAATATAAAATCTGAAGAATGTAGATATCCTTCATGAATTAGATTAAGACCCTTTTATGCAATATAAAAGACAGTGCTGAATGACTGTTTAGTTTTGATCTCCTGAGCAATAGTATTAAGCTTACTTGATCATTTCTGTTCTGTTCTCGTCTTGTTAGGTTAGTGAATCAGGTGTGCACAGGCCCCACGTAGCTGGGATTCATGGGAGAAGCAATGATGGTGCTTATTCTCTGGTGCTGGCAGGAGGCTATGAAGATGATGTGGTAAGTTAAAGCCTTTTATTTTAATTCAGAACTGCCAGAATTTAGTGTCCTTGGTTTTATTTTTGGTTTTGGAATGTTAGTTAGTACTGCTCTCCGAAATCTGACATTGTGGATTGTGAAGTACTGAAGGAGTAAAATCAGTGCAGTTGAACAGCGGGCTTAGATCTTATGTAATCTAGAATTCTTTACTGTGTAGGTAGTTTTGCCTTGTCCCTGGCATTAAAGAGCTCTTCGGTACCTATTCAGTCGGGATTTAGTGACAGAGCAGAAAGCCCCTGTCAGGGTAGTTTTATGATTCTCTCAAACATGGCATTCTACTGGAGCACATGGAAATGTCTTGATGGAATCACTGCTACTTTCATTCTTCAGAATTATTGGCAGCAGCTGATGTGTCTCTCAAGCTTGTAGGAAAGCTCACATAATCCAGTGCAGATGAAATACTCAAACTGGAAGGCACTTTAAACAAAATTGTGTGTGGAACTCCTCAATCTGCAGAATTTCAAGAAACTCCTTAATGAGATTCTGCTACTGGTTCCCTGCTAGGAAAGAAAACGAGCAAGACAAGAGAAGAAATCCTGTAATATTTGTTCTCCTTTCAATTTTAGGATGATGGGAATGAATTCACGTACACGGGCTCTGGAGGGCGAGATCTGTCTGGCAACAAGAGAACTGCAGAGCAGTCGTGTGATCAGAAACTCACAAATATGAACAGGTCAGCAGGAACATTGTTTAAAAAAGCTTAAGTTGAATTGAAGAGTTGTTTATTTACAGATAACATAGCTTTTCCTTCTTTGAGAAACGTGAGTTTTCCATTTGTGACAGAAGGTAATCTCAGTGTGGTGTGAAGATGTTTTAAAAACTAAAATCTTCCTGCACATTCGATGAAGTGTGGGTGTAGCATTGTTAATAGGTTTAATGTCTGTTTTTGCTGTTGTGGGCTGTAACAGGGCTTTGGCTCTGAACTGCAACGCTGCCGTGAACGACAAGGACGGAGCCGAAGCCAAGGACTGGAAAGCGGGGAAGCCGGTGCGCGTTGTTCGCAGCTCGAAGGGCCGGAAACACAGCAAGTACTGCCCAGAGGATGGGAACAGATACGATGGCATCTACAAGGTGTGTGTGTGGGATGGGGCTTGTGGCCACCGCTCGCCGCCTGTTCTTCTGGACAGCTGCTCTGTCGGCTTGGCCCCTGTTACTCAAATTCCAACAAGTAACTCAATAATATTCTGGCCTTTGGAGGTGCAGCGGAAGTCTCTGGAACTGGATAGAGAGATCTCTGGTGGTTTGCATTTTCCCTGGTTTATGAAAGGAGTTCAGTTCAGGGGCTGAAGTCCTTGAGCAGTAGCATGAGTACAGTTACAGGTCTCCGCAAGCAGCAGACAGACGCTAATTGGCTTCCATGAATCCATGAATACGTGAGGATCTGAATTGGCCACATTTATAACTTGCCACTGCAGGCTGTTTATGACAACCATTAAATCAAAGGCCACAGATTTCCAACACATACTGGCATCTGAACAAAGTGTTGAACTTCCAAGGAAGCAGCCTCTTCTGAGATTGCGTAAGAATGCCCATTGGAATCATGTATTTGTTCAGACTCTTAACTGTCAGTCTTGGAGAATAATTTTAATGTGCTTTCTCCTTTGGCATTATGTCAGGTTGTGAAATACTGGCCAGAGAAGGGGAAGTCGGGCTTTCTGGTCTGGAGATACTTGCTAAAGCGTAATGATGATGAGCCAGCACCATGGACCAGGGAGGGCAAGGAGAGGATTAAGAAGCTGGGGCTAACCATGCAGGTACGTGATGTCAAGGTCGGCAGTAAGACTCTTGTAAGAGGGAGAAAGAATGACTTGCATAGTATCTGAAAAGCACATTGTAATTTTTTGTGAAAGGATTGAGAGCTTTAATTGTATTCCAAGAATTGCCATTTTCCTGAAAATGTTCAGCATGTTCATGTAATTCTTTTTCTCCACTTCTCAGTATCCTGAGGGTTATTTAGAGGCTATAGCTGCCAAAGAGAAAGAAAAGGAAAATAAGAATGACGAGGAGGCAGTAACTGATACCCCTAGCAAAGGAAAGAGGAAGAGAAAATCTCAAGGAGGTGGGTTTTCTCTTTGTTGCTTATTACACACATTAGCCATAAATGACTTTGATCATGGATGGATGAAGCTCCATGTGCCTCCTATAGGGGCTTAAGCAGTACATGGTTACCTCTATAGATTTTTGTGTAGTAGATGTGTATGCATCAGTAAAGGCTGCTGACCTCTTATGTGAAGCTTGTAATTATTTTGTGATAGATGCCATGCAGTACAATGATGAGCATTGTGATTTTCTTAGCAGAAGAAAAGTCCTCACCAGCCAAGCACTCACCCAAGAAAATGAAAGTGGAGCCATATAAACTGACAAAGGAACAGAAGGCACTGATAAAGGAGGATGAACTGAACAAAAAGCTATGGGATGAAGCAATGGGATCTCTTAAAGAAGGGCCGGTATGTATATTTTGTTTTATCACATTTCATACTTTTCAGTGGAACAGTCTTAGCCCACCCTGGTGACTCCTACCCCTTTGTGCCACCTGGCACACTCCCAGTCGGTCGGCTCAAGGCAGTATGTCACCTCGTGTCGCTGTCTGTGCTTTCTAGTTCTGCTGGGGTTTAGGAGGCCCTCAAATGCATATTCATTTGCCCTCTATCTCTCTCTGTTCCATGTTAATGTACATATGAAACAACTGCAAGAGAAATTCACACCTTGGAACATTTTGCACTGTGATGGCAGTCAATCGTATTTGTTGCCACTGTTTCATTGTAGTGGCTGCTGCCAGCCTTGTCAGCTTCACAATACAGCTTATCAGTACTAAGAAGACCTCCTTGTGCATACCTCCGTGCTACTACTTGCTTTTATTCAGGGGAGTTTGAATGTTTTATGGGTGAACGAGGAGAGCTGCAAACTGAAGGAACTAATATACATCAGGTACAGGCTTAAAAGGGGCATGAAGAAAGTGCATTGCAACCTTCTTGAGTTTTATGGGTAGCTCCTCAATGAAGACCTCTGCTTGTAAAGGCAGAGGGATTCTGATGTGGACTAAACCATGAGTATCCTGTCAGTAGTATTCCAGAAGAACCTGATTTGTGATGAGTCAACTGCAGTTCAGTAGGGTTGAATAATATTAAGTCACTGAACTGTGCCCTACAATGAGAAATGCAGAAAAAAATGAATTGACTTAATCTTAATTTGATCAAAAGAGAAATGGGCAACCTCTGAATCAGCATAAAACCTATTTTACCAGAAGCACAATGATAATGCTTTTTGAGCATGTTTTTTAAAGCATGGTCTAAAAATAATGTTCTAGCATTTAAGCATTTAGGAGTCTGAAATTGTCAAACAACCAAAGTGCTTTTAACTGGAGAGAACCGACCTGTGTTCTGAGGTAGCACTATTCAGGGTTTTAAACACTGTTGTAATAGAGCTAAAACTTTCTGCTGACATTTATTAGTGTTATTACTTTTTAAGTTTTAAATCACTTCACCCATGGAAATAAATGAAATGAAAGACGTGCTAGTTGTGTAATATTGGAATGTCTTTTGGCTTGTTTTTTTTACCTAGGATTGTTATGACATGGTCTTTCAGATGAAAATACTTTACAATTAAATACACTGTAAATAGGAAGCATTATCTTAGCATCAATATCTAAAGATGGATGACCAAGGTTAGAGTGAGATCACTAGGATGTAGAACATAAGCCACTATGGTTATTACAATATGTAGGCAACCTTTTCATGATTTGTAAATGCTTAATAGTTGTACTTGGACAGAATAGCTTTTAACTTGTGTATCTGTAGTTTCAGAAACTTTTTTTCTTGCAGAGGTTTTTGAACAAAGTTGAAGAGGTGTTCTTGTGTATATGCTGCCAGGAAGTAGTATATCAGCCTGTCACGACAGAGTGCCAACATAATGTCTGTAGGGTAAGTAACAATTGTAACTTGCTTGTGCAGATTATTTGGTAAGGCCAATGGTATGTGCAGTAAATCTGAGGTATCTGTTTGTTTGTAATCTGTGCTCTAATGATCACCAATTAGAAGGCCAAACATAATGGAGGGGAAACAATAGTTACTCAGTTTTGGTGGGAGCAATCTAAATTGGCTCCATTGCTTCCATCTGTGAGGAAAAGCACCAAAATGTGTACGTGTGCTGCTTAATGACCAAATGTGAATAGGTCTGATATAAGAGTCATTGAAAGTATGCATTGTTTTTTGATGTTCTTATTCCACAGGAATGTTTACAGCGCTCCTTCAAGGCTGAAGTTTACACCTGTCCAGCTTGTAGACATGATCTGGGCAAAAACTACAGCATGAGCGTCAACAAACCACTTCAAGCCATCCTGAACCAGTTTTTCCCTGGCTACAGCAGTGGCCGGTGATGGTGCCTTTCTCCTTTGCTGCTACGTTTCAGTGGGAATTTCATGAACTATGAGGGTTTATCAATTAAATCTGAAATTTCTTCTTAATATATGAAACAAATGGGTGCACAACAGCTCTCTGTGGCTGTTACATGAACCATATGCCCTTCACGGATTTGTTGTTAATGTAAATGTTGCAATTTAAGTGTGAACAATGATCGTTAGTGCTCTGTAGTTGATAGATTATTGTTTGCTTATTAGTGGCATATTAAAGTAACAGCCAGGGCTCATCCATTTGCTATAAAGGTAGAAGTATACAAGTGACTTCCCTTATTTGGAAACCATAGTGGGCTATGTCCCCCTGTCTTGTCTGACAAAGCCATATAACTTGGTACAGTATTATAGCATCAGTTGTGGCAACTTCCCAATCAAATATTTGATCGCCAGTTGAGCTTTTACAACAAGTAAAACAGGGCTGGTTTTACTTACCTTCAGTAGATATTTATTTGAAACAATCTCTTGCTTCCATTTCTGTAAACTTTTCCTTGTTATTTCTTGTGCAGTGAGAAGCAAGTATCTAATGTATTTAAGTTCAGTCATTCCCCTGTGGGTAATTAGCTTTGTTTTTGAATAGGTGATTGTGCTGGCCATCCATTGTCATATTTTAAGGAAACTGTTTCCAGCTTCATTTCTGTCCATTTATTCAGAGTTCTGTCCCACATAATGCTGGTTTTCCGTTCTCATTAATTTGATCATTGATCCAAATGAATAAGACAACTGCTTTCTATTGCCACTTCCACTTGTAATGGTCAGGATGGTACATGTTTACCTTACGGATATCAGAATTTAGCTGGTCTCATCAGTGTAGAACTCTGCCTGTTTTGCAGGATTATGAACATTTTCAGATTCATTGGGAGTATGTCTTCTGTACTGCTAGTTACGCACTAAACTTAAATCATATGTACCATTTCGTAAAGGCTGATGGTCACTGCAGTTGAGCATTAAGTAAACTATAAAGAAATTGGTTTTTCTCATATTTAATCTTAGACTTGCAGTTGTTTTTTGGAGGTCTTGTAGGTCAGCATGAGAAATGGACATGATCATATGTGTGCTTTTCCAAGCCTTAGCTACTCGAATATAAAGGGCATCTTGAATGTTAAATGAAAGCGCTTGAGGTAAAAGGAAATAAGGGAGGCAGCTGGTATACTTTGCTGTAATTTTTATTTTGGCCTTTTAGTAGCGCTGAAACACCCTTTTACTGTCTCGTTATTTTTAAGAGTTTTGGGAAGAAAATGTTATCTTAGACTTAACTGTTCTGCCTTTCATTTTATCTTGTTTCTGCTTCTTATATATATACCATTTTCTTCAATACTTGTGTGTTCTTTGGGGAAATATAATCAAATGGATGTAGCCCCTAAGTGCCTTACAGCTGGCAATTAGCTTTATGTAATACTGCACATTTTAAAGCAGCTTTAAATGTCTTGCAGATTTATTTTTTCCTTCTTAAATGATCGATTAATTGAATTTGACCAAGTGGTTGTTCCCCTTCCCCCTAAAAAAAGTTTTTGCTTTTTAGGTCGTCTAAACCTTTTTTATATGATGAAGCTTTTTTGTAGTGCGTGTTTGTTCATTCTGAGTTAACTGTTAGACTGTAACATTTACATCATACACGTTTTCTGTAAGTCAATGCCAAAGGCTGCAGGTCTTTTTTTATACCTCAAAATACTTCAATAAAATAACTCAGACTGGAACTTGTATATTTTTAAAATGTATATTTGTAGTGCTTGTTCTAGCTTCCACTTGATCTTTTATGTAGTTGACTTTTTATACTTGTATCTTGCATATGTCAGTGCAGGATTTGTCTAAATTACATATTGCTAAATCAATCCAGGTGTTTTTTTACAAAATAAATTCTAAAAAGCTTGCATTGTGTGTTTCTTAACGTTTAAAACTACATACTTGACATGCTAACACACGGTGTGGTGCCCGTTCACTTTCACGCAAGAGACATGGAAGCGCAGTGGCAGGACCTGCCTTGGCAGCTGGCTTCTGACAGCCATCTCTTCAGCTCAGTCTGCTGTGGAGAGTTAGCAAAGCCTGCAACAGTGATGGCTATCACGAGTGCTGGAGAACCGCAGAGCTACGCCTTTGAGATTAATCTTCCATTAATAAGGTGCAGTTCTGATCAAAAAAGCTGGGATCTTTCATTTGGATTGTAAATGATTCCAGAAACCACCAGCTCAGGAGGAAAGAAAACAAACCTGGTATTTATAGTTCTAGAGATCCACATATTTCCGCTTGAGCTCTGCCTAATAGGATATCAACAGGAGCCGGCTCTTGCCCCTGAGGGTTTCAGTCTAACCGTTCCTAGTGTTAAAAATCCACCCATGACCTGTGGGCACTTAAAACAATTAAGCAAATAATGTGTCTAAGAAATCTGAGTGAAATATCAAAGCTGAACTTTTGTAATGTAGTTCTTAATTTTACTATTAATTTATAGGTCCATGATACAGGGACTTATCTTGCAACTTCAAACAAAAGACATGAAGGTGTGCTCAGCCAACAATATTAAAGTAAAGATGCAGACAAAAATTATAACAGCCAAACAGGAAAGATAGAGAAGCACTTGCCGCAAGTCCCAAGTTTTATTTCAGTTGCAGGAGTTGGTAGAGTGCCCTGTGGTGGACTGGTATCCTGTCCGGAGTGTACCCTGCCTTGTGCCTGTGGCTTCCTATGGTAGTCCCCAGCTCCCCTGTGACCCCGAACTGGAAGAAGCAGTTGGAAAATGGATGGATGGAAGAACAGAGCTGAACTGCACATGAACAGATCCACATTCCAGAGCAGCTTTGCAGAAGGTGTTACTTTGATGTTTCAGTAGGTTATAAGCATGAGTTAGGCAGACGCAAACAGTCCCGCCAGGGCCAATTTTCCCAGAAGCACTTAACTCAAACCTACCTAGTGATGACAATTTATCAGACTGTTGTTGCAGAGTCTGTCAGTGGGGTTTCAAAGTCTCCCGTCCCCATGTCGTGGAACAGACACAAAGCGGGAAACTTAATTGTTTCATGAGATACCAATGTAGTTGAGGCACGTGAGCCAAGTGGCAGTATAACTCAATCATTTCACTGGGAGTGCCGTCTATCCTGACCGTTATTGTTCATTTGAATAGAATTTGAATGTTTGAAGGGATTTGAGAACAGATATAATTAAGGTTATGCTCATCTGTCTGGGACATTACTAGATAAGGCATCAGGGGTTAAGCAATGTGAAATATGTTCCCTCTTATGTTTTTCCCCAAGAGGGGGAGGTGTTGGTGTGTTAATGAGCACAGCCACTCATTTGCCCAAGAGGATGTGCCCTTGCTGTTTGTGGATGTTGTTAATAAAGTTTAGTTCAGGTTCCTGCACACCTGGGATCAGAGCTTCCTGTGCTTGTTCCCACCTGACACTTGCGCATAAGTCACAATTTAAAAATGATTCAAATCAAAAATTGAAATAAATTATCTTATGATAAAGAACTGGAACAAAACCCAGGGCCGGGACTGGGAAACACGACTGTATCTATTGGAGTATTATTTTAATTCTGCTTTGTGGAATTGTATTCCCTTTAAAATGATTACTTCTCTCCTATTTCTGGCCATATGTAGAGAATGGCGTATAAAGGAAAACATGCCGATATGAGCTCGAACCCATATGGTAAAAATAACAAGTATGGGTAAATGGTATTACCATCCTAGAAATCTTCCAAAGGAGCACAACATGTGCAGACAACCTTTAAAATAGGACATTTATTTGGAATCTATTATTGATTAACACCCTGCACAATTTATGGGATGGTATTTAACAAAAAATTATCATTATTTTGAAATAGCTATTAAACGCAAAGGTAAGTATGGCAAGTACAGATAACACCCGCCAATAAATTAGAATAAAACCCCTTTCTTTCAAATTTGTGTGCTGAGCACCCATGAGGAGAGCAAGTGTTGCAGGACCGGTGGGCGCTGTGACAATCTGCACGTACACACCGCCGCTCTACCGAACCTGAGCGCGGCTCGGGGGCGGGACCCTGTGATTGACAGACCGAGCGGCCAATGAAGCTGCATAGCCAGGCTGCCAGCTGCAGGAAACCACACCAACAGGAGTAAGAGATCCGCCGGTCGCCCCCCAGTGCGTGTCAGCGGGTTATTGGAGTATAAAGCAAAACAATCCTCGCAAACCACGGTCAGTATGCAAAAAACAAAGTGACATTCCTCCGTCGTTTACGTTTTCCACTACAACGGCTCAGTGCCCACAACTTTATTATAAAATAAAATGCACGCTGCCAAACGGGTGCCATTTCGGCCCCGGCAGAATACCCCCAATAAGTACAACACAACGCTCCACCCCTTTGAGCCAACATGGCCTTTACCGAAGAGGCGTTCAGACCCCTGCCTTGGGAAAGAAAATAAGAGGGCATATTTAACTGCACGGAAGGGCCCGGGGGATCGCCCAATCAGAGTCGGCCTTCGCATGACGGTTTGTTAGGTCGGCGACGCCCATTGGCTGTCCTCCTTGTCCGTGAGAGGACGGGCCAATGGGCCGCCGGCCGTGGAGGTCGAGGTGGGCGGGCGGAGGAGTGGGGCGGTGTCCAATCAGGAGGGGGCGTGAGGCGCAGCGTCCCCCGAGCTCGAGCCGCTGGAGCCCCAGCGCGAGCGCGACGGGAGCGGCGGGACCCTCACAGGCCGGCGAGCCACCCAGGTACGGCAGGAGCACGGCGCCGCCGCGACAGCCTCCGGTCCGCCGGCGTCACGGTGTGTCGGTGGCTTATTTTTCGTACCGGAGGGACGAGGTGTGTGCGTGGGGGCAGCGAGACGAAAACTTGTTCCGTTTGCAGATGGGGAGACAATTGCCCTTTTCCTGGGGAGGAATGGACTGTAGTTCCGCACGGTGCAGGTCCGGAGCACTGCGATAAGCTGACAGCAGCAAAGCACACTTTATAGGGAAAAAAAGGCAGGAGAGGTATAAAGAGCATTGTTTCACTTCCAGGGTGAATGTTAATGCTGTGTTTTGCTACAGCGCAGAGAGCACGGTTTGCTTGGTGAACTGCAATTTGTTTTAATAAACAAATAAACAACAGTGTTGTCTGTCTTACCACGAAATGGGCTTTAGTGTGAGTGCAGTGTTGAGCGAATTTAAATGAGCCCTGTATCAATGCTAGAACGTTTAATGCATCTTATTATAGAGAACGACAATGGGTACTTTATGTACGCTTAGTAATGTAGTTCCATAAATCGAGTATCGGACGTTATTAACTTTTTAGTGTTTAAGATATCTGTAATAACCTTTGGGTGCACGGGTGCGATATGAGATTAAGCTTTGGTTCACAATGGGTCAATAATATTATTGTTTTTAAACGGGGTTATTATGGTTTTATTTAATGTTTTCTGGGGGGCGGCACTGTTCGTGTTTTACGTGAATGTTTTTCCCTGCATCCCTTCTGTTGTTGAACACTTGAGCTAGAAGCGCTCTTCTCTGAAACTTGAATCATCCAGGGGGGATGTTTGCGTTCGGCTGGCGGACCCGGATGCCCGAGCACCACTCTCGCCTGGCCCTGTAGGCATTGTTCGGTCTGTGCAGCCAAGAGTCTCGGTCGAAACTGTATTGTTCTTGAAACTTTTGCGAGCGGGGCTGTAAGTTTGAGCTTTGCAGTAGCTTGTGTCAACCATCTGAAGTTAGCAGCCGTTGTTGTACCGTTGCTTACTCAACCCACATAAAGGATGGTGTCCATCTAGTTCAATTGATTTTCGTTTGTCACGAGTGAAGTGCGCGTGAAGTCAATGGATTGCATTGTCTACGAAATAACGTTTTATCAAGGCAGGCATTTGGAATGGCTTTGGACCCCCCCCCACGGGTTATTGATTAGTTTAAGTAAGACAAACCCTTTAATTTGGTCTGTCTAAACGCGGTGCCTACTGCGGTCTTTGCTTTGGTTTGGAATTAAAGATCATCTTTGTTTCCAGGTCTAATGGTGTGTATGTATCAGAATTGCATTTTGGGATGTGTGAAATGGTGACAATTGAACATTTAAATTAGCTACTGGAAAGCCTGTCACAAAACAGTGTGAAAGTGTCGTGAAGAAGTCTAAGCTTTTTTTACAAGACATGTAGCATAGAAAACTTACTTTATGCTGCTTCTTTTGGTCATTCTTTGCAAGTCTACAAGTACTGGTGAACTATTTTGATTGAAAATGTGGAGTTTTAAATGGTTATTGAAATTGCACATCCTACCCAAGCTGTTGTATAAAGCGAAATCATTTTTGATGGAAGGTAAACTTGGCGTTTTTGGGGTACCAGTGTTTTCAGCCTTGTAGCTTGGCCTTGGCAGAGCTCAGAAGCCGAGCTGGCCCTGGTCAGGACCAGGCTGGGTTGCTGCTGTGAGTGGCGGTTGTGTGCCTGTGGGTGGCGCCCTTTTCTAACTGCTTTATTCAGCACAGGGTTGCGAGGGAGCTAGAGCCAGTTCAGGCAAGTAACAGGTGCAAGGCAGCCTCTTCGATTTCACTTTGTTTCGTTTTAACTGGAAAATGTGCTTTAAAGCCTGTGATGGATTGGCATTGCGTCCCTGGGGTCCCCTGCCTTGTGCCTGTTGCTTGCTGCGATTCGGAATTGGACGAAGTGGTTAGGAAGAGGTTGGAAGGATGTCTTTTAAAGCCACCGCTTATCCATGTCTGTAAGCAGATTTCGTAGCATGTTTACCTGGACCTTGAGTATCTGTTAAGCCTTATCGGTGGTGTTTTGGTATCTGCTGGGTGGCTCAGCCAGGGAAGGTGCAGGTGGAGCCCCGTCATCTCCCCTTATCTGGTCCAGCCTGCTGTGCCCCTCCTCCAGGTGACACTCGCCTTCCTGCGGAGGCACTCTGGAGCCTGCTGTGTGTGAGGTCGTGAAGGGCTCAGGGCCTGACATGGCAAAGGCTGTTCTGCACAACAATCCTCATTCCCTTTGTTTGAAGGAAGTCATTGTAACAAATCATTAACAGGCTGTCTTAAATCTTGTGAGTATTTAGATCTCTGCGGTGTTACTTCTAAGGGAGTTTTTTTCTGCCCTCTACCCCTGATGGTTACTGTTACATTACACTACTCTTTCTCTGTTACATTACACTACTTGACAGCAACTTATTTCCTTTTGACTTATTGTCTTGTTTAACCCTGTCTGTAAACTAGTTGTGAATGGAGCTATACAAATATACTGAACTGAGCTGTGCATTGATCCCGGAGTTGCACTGAAATGCAGTCATAAGGTCCATGGCCTCTTAAGCCTTTCATTCCAAAGGAGCTCTTATTAGCTAATTGAACAAATTGTTCACTTAACCTCACTGGCCTTGCTTAGATATGGTTTTAAAGAGACCCTCATCCCATTGGACTGATATCAACCTGCATTTGGAAAAGTGCAGCCAGTCTCGGTGGGACCCCAGGGGAGGACAGAACTGCCCTCCTGAGTGGAGACCACTTGGCTTAGCTCATCCCGGCCCAGAGCTGGGGTGGGCGCTAGTCTGTCCAGCTTTGCTTTAGGAGCTCCTGGTCTCAAATTCATAATAGAAATGTATCTACCCAAAAATACACCTGTTACATTGTGCATATAATTTATATTGATCTCATCATCATAAAAACAAATAGCTGGAGTATAATTCCAAAAGAACAGTTCTGACTTCGGTGATCCTGTACGTTTAGGAGGCTGTATCTGAATGAAGGTGTGTACGTGGGTTCTTATTAACCGATTGGAAAACGTGCACTCCTGCTATCTGTGCCTCTCGGGAGGATGCTGCTCTATTAACCCAGGAGTGAGAGAAAATCCCCAAGCCTATTTCCCTTTCCCTACTCTCGAAAGTGGCACAAGTGGAAAGTGATTGCGCAAGTGATCTTTGTTCTATCAACACGTTATGCCCACACCTTTGGGGGAAATGGACCCAGCCACTGATCCTGCCTTAACGCTTTCAGGCTGAATTGCATAGGAAGTTTGGAACATCCACTGATTACCTAAACTGGCTGAAAAGAGAATCATGGCTTCTTGGCTACAATGAAGAAATGTGCCATACATGTTTCATTGCGCTTTCTGCTAAGGATGGCAGTGATTTGTTAAAGACTGAGCTGCCCATTCAGGGGGGAAGAAGGACTGTGAAAAAAGAAAATAAATAGCATTTTTCTGGGTTTTTGTCCTGCCTGATTGTAATTTTCTTGGTGAAGGTGAAGTTGCTGACATGCCTCACTGTGTGGAAAATTTAGCATACTGACCTGTTGGGTAGTAGCCTATTCATGGTTTTACTAGATGTAGATCACCATGCAAATTAGTAGTAGTACAAGAGTACCTGACATAAAATCAGGCTGTTTAGTTATCAAACAATTCTATTTACCTGCAAGTGTGAATCATATAACCCCTGGGATGGGTGTACAATGTTTCAAAACAATGTTTCCCATGCCTGTCAAAACACTTGTTTTGTCATTTAGTATCCAAGTAGCAATTCAAATGCAAGCTTCAGGTCAGATCTTAAATATTGGCACATATATAAGCCTGTAGCCTGTATGTAACTAAACATAAAAGATGTTACCCAAGGTGTCTTTCGTGTTTGTGAATCTTGGGAGCAGATACTTGGATACTCCGGACTTTGTCTAGTATTTAATATATGATGCTGTACTACAGTGTGGAAACTGTATAGGAGCAAGAGCTGGTTTGGTTAAGGATAGCCTCAACCTGTTACCACGATCCCAGTTGCCTGCACTTATTAGTGAGCACAAGAATGACTTTTTGTCCTTTTAATAACAAATAGCTGTCTTTAATTTTAAGTAATTTGAGGTTGAAAAGCAATTCCAATCACAATTTCACAGTTTGTCCAATAATTTGCCTGATGCTCAGCTCCTCCCACCAGTCTGTCTCCGGTCCAGTCAGACAGACATGAGGGCTGTGAGTGCACGATGCATTCGCTTGTGTTTCTTTCACTTCCCAACAAGATCTGGACATTTGAAACTGGCGTTTTTTTGTTCTTCCAGTTGGGCACCTCTAGTTCTGAATTCCATTCTGTTTTTCCAGTAAGATGAACAATTTGAACAAACGATTAAGATTGACAGTTTCACGAAGCGTTCCACTTCTTGGTCAGTTTGCAGTGCAGTTCCTGACAGCCGGAGGGGTCCCTGCTCAAGTCGGGGTGACCTAACTCCAGCGGGGCCGGGCCTGTTGTGTTCTGCTGTTTTGAGGACACTAATGTTATAGTCCATGTCAATCGGTGACGTTTGGACCATGAGTATCCAGCTGCTGAGTGTGTGCAAATACCTTTAGTGGTTGAGTTGCACAGGATTGTGTGGCTGTTCACTGTCTATTAAAGCACCATTCAAATCAGCCACTGTGTCGGTCGTACCACTTGTCAGAGTGTGTTTACACCTACAGCCGTGGCGAAAACAAAGCATCCTTTTGCTGGTTTAAATATGCACAATGCTGTAGGGTTTCTTCCAGCACTGTTGAAATGTTTTCTTTCGTGCCGTGGGATTTTTTTATTTCAAGTAGTAGACGACAGTAGAAGATTCTCAAACCTGTTTCCTGTAGAGCCTTGCGTTTTGATTTGTATTCACAGTTAATAATTATCACAATTACAATTATTTTCTTAAATATTTTCTTCACCACGTTAACATGATTTTTTGGAAGGTCTTTTGCAGTTGATTGCTGAAAACTTTCACTTTCTCAAATAGTTATAAACTGAATTGTGAAAGTTATGCA